ATAAATATTTTTATATTTTTATTATATTTTATTTTTCCTATATCACTTTTAACAAATCTATTATTTAATTATTTATTATATGATTGAAACATATAAGAATTAATTGATCTGGATTCATGCACATGTCTATAGTCTCATGCATAGTACTTTTTAAGCAGTTGCTTCCTTAGGCTTATAGTGCAAACGACCATTGGCCAATGAAGCAGTAAAAATATCAACATGAAGGCGCTATATTTAGAAGATTTAGCATATTAGTATAGGACGATTTGAAAAGATTCACGTTTCTTTTTTTAAATAGCATTTAATTTCGATTAGTAGACTATATGTATATTATTTGTGCATGTTTTTGCTAGCAGTGCTAGCATCAGAAATTATCCAAACAAATAAATTTTACAAATATAATAAAATTTCATTTATTGCACAATAAACGTTGACTATAGTGTCAAACAATATTTTGTCAGCTTCCTCAAGAAACTCCTTGAAAATGAAATCGCCAGACCGAATGGTATCCAGCTGTCATACTGAAGCTATGGTTTCTTCGTGTCATGGTTTATTGAGCAGTGAGTCGAATCTGATGACCCAAAGTTTAGATCCTAATATGTTAACTGGTATGGCATTGAACAATAAAACATCAAACAATAGTTTGCAAGACATGGAAGGTAAAACAGTTATACAATTGATTAAATGGAGATGGGTTAGATTAAATGGAATTAGATTACGACAAAAGATATTTTATCCAGAGACATCAAGTCCTCTGCAAGCGGCTACAAAACTAGTACCAGTACCAGAGTCTCTGATGAGTCCAGATTTTCGTCCACCGTCTGGCCTTTCGCGAATTTTACCGAAAACTCCCACATCAAGTAAATTAAGCTCTCCCTGTCAAGTCACAATACCTAGTAAACCATCCATGGACGGCGATGGAAAGGCAATTCCGATCATAAACACCGTAAATCCAATGGCAAAAACGAATCTAAGCTGTATAAAAATGAACGCGCTTATGAAAAGTAGTTCCGCGACAAATTGCAGCGTCATGAGACCAAATATAGCGAAACCGATCGTGACATATGCTAATAGTAAATGTCCATACAGTGTGAAGATTAATAATTACGTTCAAAGCAAGACTTTGCCCGCGAAGAGAAGCACGAAGAGTCCTAATTTAGCTAGAAATATACAGCGACCGAAGAGCGCGAATGAGAGACTTAAAAGCAATTTGAACAAAGATGAGAGAGACGGCGATGCTGGAATTCAGAGCAGCGACGAGGATAGTGAAGTTTGTCAAGCGAAATTGGATAGCATTCGTCATAGAGCTATTCAAAGAAGACAAGAAGACAGTAACAAAGGTAAAACATTAAAAATATTAAGTGCAAGTATATTGATAAAACATTTCATCTATATTGAATGGATATATTCTTGCAGATCAAGATCAAACAGAGAAGGCTGCTATCTGTATTCAAAGAATGTGGCGAGGCTACCATACAAGAAATCTTAATAATAAAGCTACTAATATATTAAAAACGATTGATATGATAAGAACAAATAAATACATCCAGTAAGATTTCAATTCTTTCGTGCATAATTTATTTACCGAATAAAAAAAATGTACACATATAAAATATTTACAGGAAATTATCGACAGATATGGAAGCCACGAGAACCGCCCTCGAAAGCGAACATAAGTTACAATTATTGCAAATGCAAGCGATTAATGCATTGTGGAAGAAAGTAGTCAGTTTACAACCAGGCGGTAATCGAGAAAATACTTTCAGTGATACGGACAATACCCTGCAACCGAATGCGGATGTAGTAAATAATCTCGCGCAAACGTGCAATCTGCTTCATACCCAGGTAAGTTTTAGGAAAGATTTCTGTATTTTGCCAAAGGAAAGTAAAATTTTTTTATTTAAAAATCTTTTTTTATTAGGTTCAACAATTGCAAGACTCGATGACCGAGATAAAACGTTGCATGTCCAGCATGAAGCCAAAACCTGCTCTTGTCGATAATGGCGTCGCCACTCAAACGGAAATATCTGCCGTGCATACGCCAGCAGGTGAAGAAAATACGTTTCCTTATGGACGTCCTAATAGACCGCAAAGTCTGCCGATACATCAAACGATACATGAGGGAAACGAGAACAAGAGTTTTGCATCGAATTTAGTAGATAGCGTGCTGAAAAAAGTGTCACAATCTACTGACACGACGGATGACGAAGTCAATACAGATATTTTGAATTCAAATGAAAATCCCGAAATATTGACTTTAAACGAGAATCCCGAGATGTTCAAGAGTTGCGAAGAGATAATAGAATCTGACCTCAAACAAGCAGTTGAGAACGAGACGGACAACTATGAAAATATAATCGAGAATGCGACAATTGATAGTGAAGTATGCGAGGAAATGCTGTGTAAGGAGCTGCATAATTTGATTGAAACGGAAAATGGAGAAAATGCTTATGAAAACTGCGCGGATAATGCGGTTAATGGGGACGACAAGGAAGTCTGCTAGATTTGACATTGTCGAATTGAATTCCGCCAAATGCCTTGTGAGTAACCGTACGAAGCGAGAGAAAATGAAAAAAATGCTCACTGTAAATAAAAAATAATTCTATTTGTAACAATATTATAAAACGGGATTTAATTTTAATCGTGAACCGTTTTATTACAAAAAAGATACTTCGATCACAACAAGCTGCCATTCTGATCGAACAAAGTATCTATGTAGCTTAAGTAAAACAGATTGATTGATATGAGCAGTACAGTATAAATAATAGCAGCGAAATTATATTATTGAATATACAACGTTTGTCAGCTTGTGCAACATTTGTTTAGATTATACATATATTCTGTGAAAAACATTCGCATTGTGTATTTGTGTATATCATAAGGAATCTCAGAAATTTTCCGTCCGATTATGACGGTAATACATAATGATCGCATAAAACATACATCATACAAACATACATACAGCATAAAATATACATCATACAAATATACATACATCATAAAGTTTATCGAACTGGCCATTAGAGAATAGTTTCCGTAAAAAACCATTCCACTTAATTTATTTGCTACTTTCTTACCTCAATAGAATAATTTTATATTATTCCATGCCAGGAAATTATATTTCATATTTTAAGAACAATTTTTTTTTTTTAATTAAAACATACAATAAATATATATTTATATTATGATTATACTTATGATTATATTATATATATATATAATGAAATATAGCTCTCTCTACTTTATCAGTTTCTAGCTCTCTTTCGCGTAAAATTTCGTATTTATTAATTTATTTATTCATTAATTTATTTATATGCAAAGAAGCATTACTTTTAATATACAATAGATATATTAAAGTATTGAGAAAGATTAGCAAAAAGAAAATATGTTTTGAATCTAGTCAATATAGAATACCTTTTACATTTAGATACATTGTAGATATTTGAAAGAAAATTGTTATATAGAAATTACTTAATGTTATGAAATAAAATAAAGCGCATTCATTTTAACCTATTACATCGTTAAATAGCATGATTGAAAATGTAACTGCATTTTTGAAATTATCGGTTTCATCATTATTGATATAAGTATGTGCGATAAATACTCAATTATAGATTGAATAATTTCATATTCTGCAATCTACGCACACATACGTGAGCTTAATAAATTAATATTATATATCAGCTCTGCAGCATATTATTCTATATATATAATTGAATCTCCATATCTTTATTCTCAATCAATTTGAAGTTGGAATAAATAAACGGAGATAAATACGACTGAAATTTATACTCATTTTTGAGGTATTTTTGAAAATTTAATCTTAATAGAAAAAAAATATTTCATCAAAAGGTAGTATGAGCTATTCATGATTTATTTCGTGCTCTCCTAAAATAAGTTGTTTTATCTTATATACACTATATTTTAATATCAAAAACTGATATTCAAATTTACAATTTATTTTAATTTGATTTAACTTTTGCAAATAATTTTTCAAAAGAAAATTTTAATTCACTATCTTTTATGAAGATATGTTCTAATAATTTTGGCGATATTAAGAATTGAGTTGTTGATATAAAAATTACTCGATAAACTTCCATGCGAAGTACGGTACAGATTTTAAAATATAATTATTCCATTCATTTTTATATTAAAAGTAGTATTGATAAATCTCCTTAAATTTTCAAATATTTGAAGTTAATATTCTTAGAGTATTTATTAAAAATTTTGTTTTACAAATGTATAAGGTAGAAAAATGTGCTTAGTTTAAATTTATATTTTTGTGATTTTTTCGATATATATATGACATCAAAATTTCTTAATTCCTAACAGGTTGAGTAGATATACTCGTGAAATAAAAATATAGAAATATAATTACAATATATTGTATTTATTTAATATAATTCTCTAATTCATATAAATTATACATAAAGTAGTATAGTCTCTTATGATTATGCGTTATTTACACATTGCATTTAAAATTTATAGCTAATTATTTTAAAAAAATATATACACAGCCAGAGTTAAACATATATTATTGCCTGAATATTAAACATTTGAGGTATTTTTTTTACTTAATTTTATTGCGCTTTTGATAGAAATATATTTAAAAAAGTATATATAAATACAGATATCTTCGTAAATTTATCGTTAATAATAAGTACTATGACACATTGTACATTGTTATGACACATTGAATATTGATTTCAACATTGATCAGAGTAATTGACTGAAATTGACAATGAGTTATTTAAAAAGGAAAAAATGATATATGACTCTTGTATTAATAAGAAGAAATCGGATTTTT